TCCACATTAGACACAGGCCAATCTCTTACGACCGGCACCTTTGAAGGCAAATTTTGCAAAGCGTTATCACAACTTGAATCCACATTAGAAACTGAAGGCAAATCAGATTGCTCCAATCCTCTGTTCTTGCCAAAGCTGGGTTTTTTCCGCAGAGCAGCATCAACCGCTGCTCGCAACCTATTGCCCTTATTAATATCCTCCCTAATATTACGCGTGGTAGAGAGATTGCTTCCAGAGGCACATGATGTGTCAGTGGGTTCTGCATTCTGATCTTTTTGAGATAGCAGGCCTTTTGAAACAGATAACAGGTCAGACCTTTGGCGATTACCAACAGCGCCTTTGTTTTTCTCCCCCACCTCTCTGCCTTCCCTCGACCGGGATAAACCATCTACATTTGCCTGTTCATCCTTACGTTTGGCTTCACTTGATTGTTGCTCACTTGAACTGTACTTTTCATTCTTAGACGTATCCCCCACTGCATAGGTAAGAAAGAAATCCCTGGGTTTCAATCAGAATATCTTTAAACGCAGAAAAATCGTCTACCAACAGAACAAAAGACATATGACAGTGACAGTGGAAATCATACCAGAAGCAACTATATCCTCTAGACGGTTTCGACTTAGATGTCTGGATTGCTTTTTTAAGCTACCTTGTCTATCATCAGACTGCAAACCCTTTGAATCACGGGGACTGTTTGCATATGATTTGGACGAATTGCCACGTGAAATTAGCTTCTGATCAATTGTGGATGCTGAAGGATTAGCTTCTGTACTCCGATCTTTCAGTTGCTTTGAACCTTTTACATCGAGGGAAGCACTTTCTTTCCCAGTTTTCTGACGTCGAAGCATAACATCTTCCACTGGTCTCACTTTTGGTCTAGAGCTCGAAGAATTGAACGAATTGGACTTCAAAAAGGAACCTGCACAGACAGAAAACAAGGTAATACTATTAAACCTGCAACATCACCAGAAGTATGATAAACTCCAAGGAAAAACTGCATTTGAGAGAATATTTATCATATATCATACGTTTCGGGGATCGGAGCTGTGAGTCAGTAGATCGTGTGCTTTCTGTGTCATCACTGGAGTGGCTATTGAAAGATGAGTGATGAGCTAGCTTTCTTGTTGGCTTCTCTAAGCCCTTAAATGATGTTTCCCGAGATAAAGTAGACAATCTTGGGAGAGCAGATCTCTTGGGTGACCCTGTTGGAGCCTCAACTGCCTGTCTTTTAGCATCTGGAGCTGCCTCAAGTTTATCTATGTGCCTTTTGCTGGAGCTCTGTGTATTCAAATTTACCTCAGTTTCTCTTTTTCC